TCACAAACATTAGAAGATGTCTCTTGACTTCCAAAGTGCTTCGGGCACTTCCAGATGACTTCCTGCATTTCAAGAAAACAAGATGAATTATACAATATTTAAAATCTAAGTTATAGAGTAAGCCTGCTGTGCTGGGGTTATAAATGGAATCATTTTGAGAAAATCTTTCCTTCTTTAGGAAACTTGCAGGGCACAGAATCATGGATTTAGACTTATTTTCAAGTTAATATCTATCACAAGAACTATCAGAAATACTTGATCAAAATAACATTTACTTTGTTAAAATCACTAACAACTTTTCTTTAGAAAAAAAAAAAATGGAGGTAGTTCAATATGGCGATGTAGATATAACCAGAACTCACCTCCTTCCGTGGATACACCAAATCTATATGCAACAATTTCCTCGGGAAAAAATCTGAAAACTAGCTGAGCAACTCCTTAACATTGGACAAATGAGAAAAAGGTCACGTGGAAATGGGTAGGAGAGGCTAATAAATAATCTTGCCATAAATCCCACCCCTGGTACCATGACCCACAATCAGAAGCAAAAACTCACATACCCAGAGCTTCTCTCTGAGGAGTGAAGGGTTTATACTCCACAACAGGCACCCCAACCTTTAAGATGTGCACCTAAGAGACAAGCCTCCAAAACATCTAGCTTTGAAAATTAACAGGGTTTACATCTACAAGACCCAAAAGCCTGTAGCAAACTGAGAAATGGTTCTCAAAGGGCTCATGCGTGGACTCACTCACCCCAGGGCCCAGCACGGAAGCAGCCATTTGAAAAGTACACAGACTTTATGTAAGAGAGATTAATCTCCTAATCTTAAGGCATTGGTTAGAGGGGCAGGGGCCTGCTGGGATACTCTCTGGAAATGGAGCCTGGTGTGCACTGTTGTCCTGCTCCCTTTCTGCCTTGCTAAAGCCAGTGGCTGTCATTCATCTTTTTTTTTAATTCTAGACTTTTTTCCCCCTTACCTAGTGCAATCTTTAGCCTCCAAACAGCAGGCACCATCTTCACTCTCTCCCTCTGCTGCACTCCAGAGTGCCACTATCTCCCAAAGTGGAGTATTTACACACATCTGGGGCCCTAAGATTTGCATCTGGTGACCTGGTTTTTGCAGCTGCCACCCAGGCGACACCCCTTGATCACTTGACTCTGAAGGGCAGGAAAATCTTGTATTCCCAGGTCCCACAGAACTGTAACAATTTAGAGAGACAATAGTTGGCAGACTACCACCCCCAGGGCACTGCACAGATGGCACACTGAAACACAGCCCCAGCCTTTCTGAGAAAGAGATCTATTTGCTTATCCAGAAGCTTTGGACTAATAAGTGGCAGGCTTCTGGCCTGGCATACATCTAGAGGCCTATGGAAGTGTTTTCAGGAAACAGAGGCCAGTGGATGCCATCTTTGTTCTCTCCCTCTGCCTCACTCCAGCTTGCTGGTATCTCCCAGAGAGAAGCTTATAAATTTGTCTAACACCCCAATTTTTACAACTGCTGTCAGGGAATATCTCAACATTTCCTAACTCTGGTATCCAATGAAGCTTATGCTCATGGGTCCCACAGAATTGGAGAAAGAGTTCTTAAATAGCTACCACTCTCAGGGCACAGCAAGAGGCAATAGATTCAAGAGCTCAGTCTTTCTGTGAAAGAGGCCTATAAGCTTATCGTCATAGCTGCTGCCTGAGGGGTAGGATTCTAATTAAACACATATCTAAGGGCTGAGTTTAAATCTTTCCAGGGGTCTTGGAGGGCAGGAGCCATCTCTGTGCTCCCCTTCTGCCTCACTACAGCTCATCAGTATCTACCAAAAAGGAGCTTAAACAATTGTCTGAAGCCCAATATTTGAGACTAACACCCAGCGGACACCCTCAGATGGCCTGGCTCTGGTGGCCAGCAGGGCTAATAGTTGCAGTCCTAAAGACTGTGTAAATCTGAATATTTTAAAAGCTGCTGCCTGAGGGTGGCCTCCAATCAGCCTGAATCTAGGTGCTGACTGAGATCCTCACCTTTGGGACACTGATAGGTTTTGGTACACCCTCAACTACTGGGAGCTGTTAAAAATAAAATAGGCTGCTTGGACAATCACAAAGTTTTGAGAGATAACCAAGAGCTAGGGCAAAGTTAAACATTAAGATTTATCTCCTACATGAGGTAGATCCTTCCAGACTGGGAGAGATGGCTGTTTCACCTAGTGTATAGAAATCAACACAGAGAGTCAAGCAAAATGAGGAAAAAGAGGAATATGTTCCAAACAAAAGAACAAGATAAAACCTCAGGAAAAATCCTTAATAAAATTAGATAAGTGATTTACCTGATAAAGAGTTTAAGGTAATGATCATGAAGATGCTCACTGAACATGGGAGAAGAGTGGATGAACACAGTGAGAACTTCAACGAAATGAGAGAAAAATATAAGAAAGTACCAAATAGAAGTCATGGAGCTGAATAATACAATAATTGAACTGAAGAATACACTTGACTTGTTCAAAAGCAAACTAAATGAAGTAAAGATAGATCAGTGAACTCAAAAACAGCACACTGGAACTTATTAAATCTGAGCAGCAAAATGAAAAAAAGTGAAGATAGCTTAGAGACTTATGGGACATCATAAAGCATATTAACATTCACATTATAGGGGTTCAAGAAGGAAAAAGAGAAAGAAAAAGGAGTAGAAAACTTATTTGAAGAAATAATGGTTGAAAACTTCCCTATCTTGGGGAAGGAAACAGACACTCCAATACAGGAAGCCCAGAGAATTCCAAAAAAGATGAACCCAAAGAGACCCACACCAAGATGCATTATAATTAAACTGTCAAAATTTAAAGACAAGGAGAGAATCTTAAAATCAGCAAGAGAAACAAAACTTGTTGTGGACAAGAGAACCACCATAAGACTATCAGCAGATTTTTTCACAGAAACTTTGCAGACCAGAAGTGAGTGGCATGGTGTATTCAAAATGCTAAAGGAAAAATGTTCCCAACCAAGAATACTCTACACAGCAAAGTTATCATTCAGAATTGAAGAAGAGATAAAGAGTTTTCCAGACAAATAAAAACTAAAGGAGTTAATTACCATTAAAACAGCAGTACAAGAAGTGTTAAAGGGGCTCTTTTAAGCTGAAAAAGGTGTGGGGCAAAATTTACTAATAGAAAACTTATGAAAGTATAAATCTCACAGTTAAAGGTAAATATATAGTAGTGGATTCATCACTTATAAAGCTAGTATGAAAGTTAAAAGAAGTAAAAATCACTGTAACTACAATAATTCGTTACAGGATAATAAGATTAAGATTTAAAAGGTGATATCAAATACAAAATGGAGGTGCAGAGTAAAAATGTAGAGCTTTAGAATGTGTTCAAATTTAAGTTGTCATCAAGTTAAAACAGATGGTTATAAATATAAATTGTTATATGTAAGCTTCATCATAACCACAAGGAAAAACCTATAGTAGACACACAAAAGACAGTGAGAAAGAAATCAAAGCAAATCAAAAGAAATTATCAACAAAATGAAAAGGCAACCTACTGAATGGGAGAAAATATTTGCAAATCATATATCTGATAAGGGGTTAATATCAAAATATTTAAAGAACTCATACAAGTCAATAGCAAAAGAAGAAACAATCCAATTTAAAAATGGGTAGACAGGCTGAACAGACATTTTACCAAAGAAGACATACACAAGGCCAACAAGTTCATGGGAAAATGCTCAACATCACTCATCATCAGGGAAGTGCAAATCAAAACCACAATGAGCTATCATCTCACACCTGTTTGAATGGTTATTATCTAAAAGACAAGAAAAAACAAGTATTGGTGAGGTTGTGGAGAAAAGGAAACCCTTCTGCACTGTTGGTGGGAATGTAAATTGGTACAGCTACTATGGAAACCAGTATGGAGGTTCCCCAAAATATTAAAAACAGAACTACTACATGATGCAGCAATTCCATTTCTGGGTATTTATTCAAAGAAAATAAAAACATTAACTCAAAAAGATATATGCACCTTCATGTTCACTGCACCATTATTTATAATAGCCAAGATATGGAAATAACCTCAGTGTCCATTGATGGATGAATGGATAAAGAAAACATGGTATATATAAAATGGAATATTACTCAGTCATAAAAAAGAATAAAATCTTTCCATTTGCAACAACATGGATGGACTTTGAGGATATAATTGTAGGTGAAATAAGTCAGAGATAAAGACAAATACCATATGATCTCACTTATAGGTGGAATATAAAACAGTTTTTTAATTAAAAAAGAAAAGCTCACATATACAGAGAACAGGTTACCAGAGGCAGGACTGGAGTTAGGCTGAAATGGGTGAAGGGGATCAAAAGTTACAAATTTTCCATTATAAAATAAGTAAGTCGTGGGGATGTAATGCACAGCATGGTGACTATAGTGAATAATACTGTGTATATTTGGAAGTTGCTAAGAGATTAAATTTTTATTTTTCAGAAGATTCTTTTATTAAAACTGGGTGACATCGATAAGGGGACAGTACAAAAAAAATTTTGGTCCATGAAAAACATATAATAATTCAATTAATAAAAAGTTATCTTCAGGGACACTGTGTAGGAGTGCTGAGCTTCCTTCTCATGGTTCCAGCCCCAGGGACAGAGGTTTTCTGTCCAGTGTCACTCTGGGGAGAACCTTTCAAGGGAGGGGTGGGATAATGACAGGAAGGGTAAGACAGGGAGGAAGTTCTGCTGTCCCCAGTGTGGGACAGTCAGGGATACAGGGCTGGGGGATGTGCTTGCAGAAGCCTGAGGAGGGGGTGGGGAAGCAGGGGCTTTGTCAGTTCTGTGGGTTTAGAGCCCATGCTGAACGGAATTCCCCCTCTGTGCCCAGCTGTCTCCCACCCTGCTGTGTTGAGTCTGCGAGCCTGGGATATGCTAACTCAGGGGTGATACAACGTGGGAAGAAGAATTTGAGGCTCCCCTGGAAAGATGCAAAACCATCTCCGTTGCAAGGGGCCAAGATCACAAGGTCCTGCTGCTACCTGAGGGGTCTGAAGCTTTTGAGGGCAGGGGCTGGGTAGTCACAATCCTGTGAGGCAGGGAGAGGGAAGAGTCAAAAACCCAACTCAGAGCTATTCTCCAGCCCTAGGAGCTTTCACTCCTCAGTGCCCTAGAAGTCACCAGTGGGTGTCAACTGGGCAGACAAGGGACAGGAAGACAGGGATGGCCCAGGGCTTTTACCCATTTGATTTTAGGCCTGTTTCTCCATGAAAGGATGGGGGAGGCAGGGTGGAATGAATGAATGAGTCACACCTCCAAGCAACAGCAGAAAGGAACAGCCTCTGCTGGCAATGACAGTACCCTAGGTGAGGACCCTTGGGGCTCTGACAGAGAAAGGCAAGATTCCCCCGCTCAAATGCCCTGGGTTAGGACAGATAGGAGGGAATCCTAAAAAGCAGCTACAGGGAGTGTGGTGAGAGGGAGCAATACTAAGAGAACTAACTCCAATACTGATGTGGACCCCCTACGAGGGAGTAAGAGAAGCACTGAGACAGTAGGCCAATCCAGAGGGCTGCAGACTGACCTGGGGCTCAGTGGAGCCCAAGATCCAAGATTCCTTTAGTGCTAGAGGGCAACAAGTGAAGGGACAGTTTGCTCCAAACCTGGGAAGGAAGGAAACTGGATTCTGTTATCAGGAAAGCCAAGATCAACTAGCTTATAGAGTGCCCCCAGGCCTGAGTCTCGGAGAAGGGGCTAAAGCTCCCAACTCCCAGGTCTCTGAAGGGCAGGATCAGTGTAGCTGGTCCCCTTGAAGACCACTTGGCCGTAGGCCCAATCCATTCAATGCATTGATTACCACTACAGGTTCTCTCTCTAATACTATCTAGAGGTCCTATGCAGACCAGGGGAGGGTACAGGCACATGGGAACTTTGTGGGGCAAAGGGAAGCTGGGGGTAGGAAGGGATGGGGTGGGAGAAGAGGGTAACAGGTATCATGTGAGACCCTCTTCATTCTGGTGTTGTCCTAGAACCAACGGCATCCCCTGGAAGGCCCCAAGCAAGACCAAGGCAGGTGCTATGAGGCAGGCAGCACAGGGCCCAAATAAAGAAATCGGTGCAGCCAAATCAGGGCTGTGGGAGAAGCCCTATGTCTTTCGGATTCCCAGGGCTTGCTCTAATTCTTGTCGTCTCTGCTGCACCTTGGAGCAGAAGCATCGGCACACGGCCTCCTGTGCCCAAGGCTGGAAGTAGAACTCAGCTCGGCGCTCTTCCTCTGTGTTACCCACCACATCAGTCATGGTCTTGAGGTCCCGGCACTGGGACTGAAGCCAGTCACTGATGAAACCCTGAGGGTCTCTGGCAAAGCTCAGCATGAACTCTCGCTGGGTCTTCAGCTGATTGATAGTTTCTATTGTCTCATGGATCTTGTTGTCTAGAGTAGCAATCTCCTGCTGGCTGGCAGTAGACAGCAGAAAAGAATTCATCTGGGTCTTCAAGGTATCATCCACTTCCACATCAATGTCATAACAAGCTGTCTTTTTCTGATCATTCGGGTCAACACTGATGACATGATTAATGATGATGGGCTCTGGTGGCATAAGCAAGGCGTGGAGCTGTTGGGGGATCTCTGAAAACTTCATAGGTTGAGACTCAAAGATCTGCTGGAGGTACTTGTCACAGATAACAAACTCCTGCTCAGGTGGGTTCTGGAGCTTACGCGTCTTAATATATTGCCACAGTGCTTGATCACTGGACGGGTCTGGGTGTGGATGCCCAGTAGCAGAGCCAGACGAGGGTCTAATTTAAACTGAGGAGGCTGGTAATCCAGCATCAGCAGGACAGTACACCATACATTCACATGTCCTGGCCGCTTCACCTGGAAGCCATCTGTCTCCTGGGTAGTGGCGGTCCTGTGCCATTCCACCAGATGGTTATCTGGCCCATACAGGTCTTTGTCCAGTTCGATCACCAAGGACTTAAAAAAAGAAGAGAACTTCCTCTTTTGTTTGGTGGCATCATATTTGGAAAAGGCTGAATCCTCCAGGAGCCGTCCTTCTACCCGAAGCTCCCAGGAAGCCACCGTCCCTTCCCCATTCTCAGCATCTGACTTTGCCGGATTGAAAGTGTTAGAAATGAAAATTCGCAGCTTCCGTTTTTTCTTGATGGGACGTTCCAAGGCTTCCTGGATATCTAGCTGTTTCCTCATGATAGTCTGGTCCAGTTTCCTTTCAAAAGCCAAGAGATCCATATAGGCCTGGGATTCTGGTACCAGTTCACGAATCCTTTGAGGTAGAATTTTGCCAGCCATCTTCTTTTTCTTTGCATTGTGGTTCCGATTTTGGACCGCCTGCTGCTGGACCTGCTGGGTCTGCTGAGGTGCAGGTCTCTTGAGGGACTGGTCCATCCCTGACTGGGCCAGGCCAGGTAGGACTGAAGGTTTCCCCCCATAGCCAGGGGGTCCCATGGAAGGTCCCTGAGGTGTCATTCGGCTGCCTGGTAGCATACCTGGTCTCGGATAGACCGCTCCGGGCATCGGGGAGCGGTACAGCCCTTGACCCGGCGCCGGGCCCATTCGCACCGGAGGCCCCGGAGTCCCGCCCAGACCCAGGGCAGCCGCCGTGCCCGCCCCTCCTGAGTCTCCAGCGTCGCCGCTCGGAGCCACAGACTAGAAACCTCCCCGGGCCACCATCTTTCCCAGAGCCGCTGCTGCAGCTGTACAAACAACCGGAACCGGAACTTCCCGCGACCCCCCCCACCCCCGCCCGCTCCCCGCGTGCCAGCCCGGCCGCCCAGCTGGCCCGCCGGCATGGGAGGCTCGGGGCAGCGAGCCGAGATTAAATTTTTAAAGTCCTCATCGAAAGAAAAAAATTTGTAGTAATGTATGCTGACAGACTTTAACTAGACTTACTGTGGGAAACATTTTGCAATATATAAAAGTATTGAATCATTAAGTTGTACACTTGAAACTAATATAATGTCATATGTCAATTATTCCTCAATAAAAAAATAAACAATTAAATAAAATTTAAAAAAAAATGAACAAGAAAAGAAATTCTGATAAACTTAAGCTAGTATGACACCTTCTCTATGCTGTGTGAATTTTCTATGCCCTGGAAAAGCAAGACAAATGAAATATCACTCTAATTTTATGTATTATTTGTAAACATAAACATCCATGATATTGTCTAATTTAAAACTGGTGATATTGTAATAAAATAGTTCTGAATCATACTTGTTTCGTAAGCAAAATGTAATGTGATTTCCTAACTTTAGATTTGAACAACGTGTTACCTTGAATTTAAACAAAAAATCAAAAAAACGGCTACGGTATCTTTCTAGCCCTCTGATGGGCACCTGCTGGAGCCCCACCCCTATCTCTGAAGCCTCTGTCCATGGTCCTACCATGAATCCACCAGCTATACCAAATTCCCTACTGAGCTCCAGCCTCAGAGTGCTGAGTTACATGTTGGAACTGCCTGCAGGGCAGGCCAGTGCCTGTTCTTCCCACAGGCCACCTCTCTACATGAGCACCTCTGTTCTTCTCAGACCTGTGCAGTCTCCAGTGCTGGGATTAGCTTCCCATGAGGACAGGCCTGAAACGAGGACCATCCACCCAGGAACTGACGTAGATGCATATATCCCAGGGAAAGGAGCAGAAAGTCTGCTGCAGGCTCTGAATTGGCTAGAGAACCTTCTGAAAAGGCACTGAAGTGAATCCCCCAGCTACAGTGGCCACAGGGAGACTGGTGGGAGCAAGCAGGCCAAGGTGTCCTCTCCAGGGAGCTCTGCCAGGGCCTGTCTATGCCCCAGCGACGGCTGTAGTGGCTTCAGATCCCAGAGGCTCTGCAGCAGTTGTGCAGGTGAAGAGGGGTCTCAAACAGTAGTCAAGAGCTTCCAGAACAATTTTTCACCCCAACTCCCCACTTTTCCTAATTAAACATTTGGAAGAAAGCTTCCTCACAGAGGATTTTTTAGGTCAGTGAAACTACTCTGTTTAATACTATAATGGTGGATATATGCCATTTACACTTGTCTAAACCCATAGAATGTACAACACCAAGAGTGAACCCTAATGCAAACTATGGACTTTAGGCAATTACGTGTCAGTGTAGTTTCATCAATTGTCGCAAATGTACCACTCTGCTCAGGAATATTGATAATGGGGGAGACTATGAATGTGAGGGGGAAGGAAGTAAATGGGAAATCTCTGTATCTTTTCAATTTTCCTGTGAACTTAAAACTTCTCTAAAAAATAAAGTCTATTTAAGAATTATACATAAAAAAGGAAAACATGGAAAAAAAGGACTTTGCTCCACAAGCTCCCAGGGCACTTGAACAAAGCTCCTTGTAGTGGGTCTATGCACAGTCCTTCACTTTTAAGCCAAAGTGCCCCTGTTTTAGGGAAATCATTTTGCAATCAGATCCTAAACTCATGGGGCCTTTTAAATAGCCCCGTTTCATCTTCCTCTTGCCCTCAGACTTCAGACTCTGTATTTCTCATGGAAATACTTACTTCCTATTCCCTCCTGACAAACCTCAAACTCTCTTTTTATTTCACCATATACATTGACAGCTCATTAAACCCAGTCCAATCCATTAGTTTCATAGAACGATTAATTTCCTCCTAGGAATAAAGGGGAATATTTATATTGTATTTTTCTAGTGTATCAGAGAAAAGAGAAGTTTTTAAAAGTTAGATAATTCACCATAAAAATGCAATGGCATACTTTCTTTCCCTCACTGACTGTTCAGATCCATAACCATGTTGTGCCAGCTTGGCTGTGCACATAAATCATATCTTAAATCGATACATATATTACTTCTAATACTCCTGCCACTGCTCTAATCTAATTCATTATCATCTTTTACTTCTATCCCTACATACTCAAATGCACAACCCTTTCTTCGTCCCTTATTGAATCATTGGTCCTTAAAAAGACAAATGGAACGTATATACCTGAAGAACAAGCAACCTTTGATTCATTATACACAAGTTTTTGAGCAGGGAATATGATATCCACCGTGGCTTTAGCAGACTGCTTTTTGTGGTATGAGTCACTTCAGAGCAGTAATTTGGTGTCATGGTGATAAAGAAGGAGAAGAGGGAAAACATCTTAACATTTCTCAGCAGAAAATGTCTTCCTAAATAACATAAAATATCAAAAGTGCAACAGTGGCTCTGACTATTGCTGGAGCTCCTGATGCATTTAAAATTTAAGTGCAAGTAGAAAATGAAAAAGTCCTTCTGGACCTGTGGTTTTCGATTGTTGGAGATTTTGCACCCCAGGGGACACTTGGCACTGTCTGGAGACATTCTTGAATATCCAGGGGATGCTACTGGCACGTAGTGGTACAAGTCAGGGATGCTGATAGTGCCCTGCAATATATAGGGCAGCCCTTCACAACAAAGAATTATGCAGCCCACAATGTCCACAGTCACATTTGAGAAGCTCTGTTTTAGACCAACCCTCTCATTTTACATATGATAAATCTAAGGCCCAGGGTCTCAAAAGTCTACAGAAAAGCAAGATGTTCCCTCTCTGCCTCATCTGCATAATAGGTTATGGTCCTAACAAGCCTTACAATCAAACTATAGGATCCAAACTGCAGGAAAGACATAGGTTTTACAGGAACCCAGGGATTCACCAACATGATAACTAATTTCCTTTTATGGAAATGTTAAATCTCATTGCTTTCCCTCTGTGGAAGAAAAAAAAATTACCAAGAAACAAAAACCAAAGTAGGCTGATTTTAGGAGAACGCGATAGCCAAGGGTTTCCTAAATTAAGTTTCTTGCAAGAAACCAAAGAACTCAGAATTTGGAGCTTTCTTCTGGGATAAAAATAAAACTCATATGAGCCTTGGAGAATTTGAATCACCCACTCTTTGGCACCTAAAATTTCACTTACCCTAACAGTGTCTGTAGTGTGTGAGTGTGTGTGTGTGTGTGTGTGTGTGTGTGTGTTTTAAACCACTAATCTGATTTTTTCACTCCCCTGCTTAAAAAGCTCACCAATGGCTTATCATTGCAATCCCAATAAATCCCTTTTATCAGTGCCTTTAAGACTCTACTGGACCTGCTCTTCTCACCATCTTTTCCCCTTCTCCCCTTTTCTCTACCTCAGGACTTTGAACTTATTCTTCCCTGTAAAGGAACAGCTACTTCCCCAGATAATTTTATTTTTAGCTCCTTCTCATCATTCATTCAGGTCTTGGCAAAAATGTCATCTCTTCAGGAAAGATCACCCTATTTAAAGAAAGTCACCCCCGTGATTACCTATCATAGTCACTGTTTATTTCCTTCATAACACTTAGAAAATCTAGAATTATTTACACATTGTTTAGTTGTTAACTCTTTCCTCCTACTAGAATGTAGGATTGTGTCTGTTTTGTTCAGTGCTATATCCACTGCACCTAGAACACCCTATGGAACTTAGTAGAACCCAGTAGGTTTGTTAAATGTATGAATGAGTGAAGTCAGTGCCAATAGTGAGAAAAGGGAAAGAGATTTTAGTGTGAGATTCCAGGGGAAGAGAAAATGTTGGGGTGCGTGTGCAGAATAAGTTCTTCCAGGAACAAAAATGATCTAATAAAGGGGTAAGAATGACTTTGTCGGGAGTGACATCTCTAAGGAGTCAGTCCTGAAATGACAGTCTAAACGAAGCACTACTTAATTCTGAATAAAAGGAACAGTTAAAATAGGGATAGCAGAGATGTTGTTTAAGGGTACAAACTAGTAGATAAGTAAGTCCGAGAGATCTAACACACAGTAAAGGGAATACAGACAACAATACTGTATTATAATCTTCAAATTGGCTAAGAGACTGAATCTTAATTATTTCCACCACACACATAAAAATAATAATTATGTGACATGATAGGGATGTTAACTATAGCTACAATGACAATCGTTTTACAATATGTAACATATTAAATCCACGTGTTGCGCACCTTAAATTTACAAATGTAAAAAAAAATAGTGAAAAACATCTCTTCATCCTTTTAAGATTTCCTGCAGTTCTGTAACTTTGAGTTTATCATTTTCCATAACTCAATGACTTGGGTTCCTACTCTCTAAAATGAGATGACACAAATATCTCATAGACAACACAATCTCATAGAACTGTTGCTAGGATTAAATTGGATGTTAAACACAAAGGGTTTTACTGCAAAGCCTGGTATCTAGTGTTTAATAATTATCATTACTAGTAGTTAGCAATATGGTTTATTAATGGTTTATTGCTGTCTGCTTTCATTTACTTACTATCAGTAACAAAACCAAACAAGAAAACAAAAACAGTTTTTAGGAAACCCAGAAGGAACTGTGTGGCTGTTTCAAAAGTAGCAGCCTAGGGAGAAATGAGAGAATGGCACACGGCTCCAAGCAGAGCCCAAGTGGGATACAATGCAGGGGGAAGGGCTGATGATGGCAGCTAGGAGGAAGAAGGCAGACAAATCCTTTTGGCCTGTGGGAGGGAAGAGGGAAGTGTAGCACAATGGATCCCTCAAAGTTTACTGCCCACAGAGGACTAAAGAGTTGATCTAGGGTTATGCTGGTTGTGGATGGAAAAGGAGAGAGATGTTGAGTTTGAGAGACTTTCTAGGGAAAGAAATAACCAGAATTAGGAGCTAGCTACCTATCTGAAATAGAAAAATAAAGGTGTGAAAAACGAACTTAAAAATACTGCA